TGTCGTCTAAGACGTCTTTGGCTATCACGTCACAATTATGAAAAAAATTACATTTTATGGAAAGTAAGTATCCTTTTGTACTTTCAATTAATAATATTATGTATAAGTACAAAAGTATTTACTTTTCACATAATATAGTTTTAATGCCTTTTCTATGTACTATGACATGGACAAAGAGCTATATTGTCATATCTCGAAAACGAAAAATCAAACGAAGCAAAATACATTTTAAAGCTAGAAAAGTTGATAAATTTGCGCGGCATTAACGAAATTTGAATGAAAGAAAAAAAATTTGTTATCGAAAGTTATAAAAATCTTAGTTTTTAGCCTTTCTGAGACGCTATTTTTCTCAAAATTGTGAACTAATAATCAAATTTATGTAACAGATTCGTGTTCAACAGACAAAAATCGCAAATTAATATTTATAGTCATACAGCAAAATGATATTGGACATTTGATCATTCATTTATTTCTCATATTAAATCTTTGAATTTTTCGTGCTGGTAATTGGTGTACCATGAAAAAACTGGAGCTAAGATTTAATTTTTGTTGACATATCGTTATCACAGAATTAATAAGAATTGGCTATTTTCGTACAGGATATATTTTCTTTATCAGCCAGTGTTATTTTTAGGCACACGATTCTGTATCACATGCCGCTTGTTATTCACGCATGTACGAATACATGCATCATGCGTACACACACACACACACACGCACACGCACACGCACGCACACACAAAATACAATTTTCTAATTATTTTAATTTTCAATAACTCGCATCCAAACAAATAACGTCAAATTTTGTTGTCCAGCGTAATTTTCTTTCCTTTTGTGAAAGAAAATGCAGGCAGAGAGCTATCGTTTCCACACCACCTTGCGGTAGACAGCACGGCGTCGATCGTATTATTTGTTTAAAAAGGGCGCGAATTTTAAGAAATTAATAATACCTTCACAGAAGTAGATGCGATGTTCTTCATCTCCTGGATAGAGTTCCTGCACTCGCTGGTAATGATACGGATGCAATCCGTTGCGACGTAAAACATGGTGCACCGTGCATCGCGAAAGATCGAGTGCACGAGCTACTCGACGCA